TATAACAACTCAACTCATAATATTTTTATTTTATCTATAACTTTACTGAATGTATTTTACTTTATCAGTAATTCATTCCAACTAAAAACTGTATTTGTATCAACAGAACTCTTTTTTTTTCTTTGCATACAACACTAGTTAAAATTAATTATAGGGGGTGGTGTACAAAAAATATAAGAAATCCTTACATTAAGATTAATTGCATGATTTTATCATAAAACTTAAATATCTACACAAAATACTCCTGTTATCAGAGAAATGCATTTGTCTTACCTCCGCTGCTGCACAGTTTTCATTACAGTGCTGCACCTCTCATTAGCTTGCAACATTTCAAGGGCTCAATGAAACGTAACCTCCTTCACGTGGGAACTCGACTGTATATCAAATATGCCCCCGCATCAGTTTCCACTTTAACAGCACAGGAGTGTGTAAGACAATGAACAAGCTCTGACTGAGGGTGCAGTCTACGCTACTCACATATAAGCCTCTGGGCAATGCTACCACTGATAACTGATGACTTTAACGCTGGTAAAGCTGTGCACAAAGAAAAACTGTCATTTTGTTGTGCATTCACGATGACAGCAAAACACCACACAACGATAAATTCACGAAATCTTGCTTAACCTAAAGATGAGCCAAACCCAAAACAAATCAACACCTACATGTACACCAAACAGCAGAATGGAAACTCAATATCGGTGGCTCAGCATGGTTAACAGATAAGTGCCTGAGGCTAGAAAAGAGATCTCCTCTCTCACTCCTTCTGCCCCTAGGGCACACACCTGCCCTTAATAAGCAAACACATATTTTTCATCCAATCACACCCAGCGGTGGTCAGCACTGGGACAACCTTGACAAATCACCCTCTGCTCTGACTCCAAAGGACTGACAGAAAGTGAGTGCAAAAGCCATCTGAATTTTGCATTTGTTGCTGTTGTAATGAAAAGGTGAATCTGCTTTTCTAAACAAAGAGCTAAATAAAACTTTATTACAAATTAAACTAAAAACAAATCAATAGTGAAACATAATTAGATTAGTCATTATCAGAGAAACGAATTTGTGCATTTGTACATATCAAATAATAATAATAACAATTATGTATGTGACCCTGGACCACAAAACCAGTCATAAGAGTCAATGTTTTGAAATTGAGATTTATACATCATCTAAAAGCTGAATAAGTAAGCTACTGACGTATGGTTTGTTAGGATAGGACAATATTTGGCCGAGACACAACTATTTGAAATCTGAGTGTGCAAAAAAAAATCTAAATATTGAGAAAATCGCCTTTAAAGTTGTCCAAATTAAGTTCGTAGCAATGAATATTACTAATCAAAAATTAAGTTTTGATATATTTATGGTAGGAAATTTACAAAATATCTTCATGGAACATGATCTTTACTTAATATCCTAATGATTTTTGGCATAAAAGAAAAATCGATAATTTTTCCCCATACAATGTTTTTTTGGCTATTGCTACAAATATACCCCAGCGACTTAAGACTGGTTTTGTGGTCCAGGGTCACATATATATGAAATATAAATACAACATAAAAGACTAAATTCTCATAAAATAAAAAATATACACATATAATTGTACTTTTTAAGCTCACCTAGGCTGTATCTATTTGATCAAAAATATTGTAAAAACTATAAAACATTACTACAATTTAAAATAACTGTTTTCTAAAATAGCAGTTTTGTATTTGTATTATGTATTTTGAGATGTAATTCCTGTGATTGTAAAGCTGAATTTTCAACATCATTACTCCAGTCTTTCTTAAACATTTATTATTATTATCAATGTTTTTTTAAACATATTTTTGATGAATACAATATTAACATTAAAATATTCATATATTAAAATATAATTAAAATAATATTATTAATTACACATTAAAATATATTTATATTACAAAATATATATAAATATATTTATATTTTATACACACAGAGATACACACACAAACATACATATATACATGTATGTATATATATTTCAGTCATGACAACTCTCGGAGTGAAAGTTTCAACCAGCATTTATTGGCATGGGTATGTAATATACATAAGCTTTTTTGGCGGACGAGATCTGATACGCTGCTGCTGCTGTAGAGCAAATACAATAATTAGTCCAGCTTATTCAAAATAATGAAGAATGGCTGCTTTAAGAATGTAGAACCCCCAGCAGATAGAGTTTCATGTCTGAACTATGTATATATATATATATATATATATATATACATATATACATATGTAAATACATGCATGTGTGTGTTATTAACATATATTTTAAAACATTAATTAATCATCAGAAAACATAAGTGTTAGTCTTTACAATGACTGAATGCTCTATCATGATAACTTTCTGGGCTTAACAGCTCTACTATGACTATTTTTGGAGAAGAAAAGGGGAGCTGACCTGACTTTTGATTTCTGATTTGATTTTTCACACGCTTTACATCCAAAACCTCCAGAGACACACCGCACAGATACACGACTGCTCCAGACATACACTTGCTAAATTAATAGATGCTTTCCTTCAAAGACAGACTCAAAAAACCCAAGTACAGTGTGGATCACAACCATTAAACCATCAAGTGTTGGGGAGCAACTAACTGAAAGTACTGACACTACAGAAGCACTCCATGGGGTCTGATGTCTATAACAGACAGTCGGAAACACAGAGGTTCAACGAATATCCATAAATCATCAGTATCTTCAGCAAGCACACGAACACACACGCAAACACCTCCATCTGTCTCTTGTGTCTGACGGTGTCGCTGCTAATGAAGCTGCACTAATTAATGCGCTTGGCACTAATGAGGTGCAAACAGCAGGAGAAATAGAGAGGAAGAGCATAAAATGATTCCAGTGGACAGAACTGGAGAAACAGCGGGGCTTCCACAAATACGTACATCAGATAGTATGAGAAGGAAGCAATCCTGTACTTTCCTATACAGTAAGAGGCTGAGGAAATACAACTTTGATAATCAGCTTCAGCAATGTAGACATTCTAGACATAGCTGGGACTTTCTCAATCACCTTAAATTCAATTGACAAGACACACACCTTTAATCTTTTCTCATTGCAGGCAAAAGAACCTATAAGGAGCCAAGAACATTCTTTGCTGATGACAGAATATTTTTCCATGCAAAAGGAAGCTTTTATACTTCCAAGTGGCCTCTCTTTACCCAGAGCTCAAGTCAGCATGCACACCAACAAAAATAAACTTTCTTAACTGGTTTAAAACAAGCAAACTTCCAGCAAACAACCACAGAATGGGGACATGCTGGGAAAAAAAATCAACTACATCCTGCAACACCCTGTAACACATTTTAGAGTTTTGAAAGTTGAAGTGATAACGTGAAAGGCGTATTTGAGGAAAATTGTCATTATTTATTCACTTTTTGGGAAAACTGTCGTACACTACCATTCAAAGTTTTTTTTTAAAGAACAAGATCTTATTCAGCAAGGAATCATTAAACTGATCAAACGGGACAGTAAAGACATAAAATGTTGCACTAGATTTCTATTTCACATAAATGCTGTTCTTTTAAACTATTTATTCAACGAATTCTGAAAAAAAAAGTATCACATTACAAATCACATCACAAAATGTCTGTTTTTAACACTGATAATAAGAAATATTTTTTGAGCACCAAACCAACAAAACAATAATTATGAATGATTTCTGAAGCGTCATGTGACACTGAAGTCTGGAGTAATTATGCTGAACATTTAGCTAATAATAATAAAAGTTTCATAATACAATTTCTTACTGTATTTTCAAATAAATGCAGCCTTGATGAGCATAGGTTACTTAAAAATCATTTTAAAAATTTTACCAAACCAAAACTTTTGAACTGTGGTGTAGATGTGAAAATAAATAAATGCAGAACACACTTTACATTTAATATATCATATTTTAATAAATATAAAAAATAAATTTATTTGTTGGTGTTTTTTTAATGCTACGAGGATGCTGTTTTTAGCCTGTCCCCAAGGTTACTTAAAAATCATTTAAAAAATTTTACCAAACCAAAACTTTTGAACTGTGGTGTAGATGTGAAAAAAAATAAATGCAGAACACACTTTACATTTAATATATCATATTTTAATAAATATAAAAAATAAATTTATTTGTTGGTGTTTTTTTAATG